TATGGGGAGAGCCCAGCAGTGGGTCCTGGAGGACCCTGAGAAAGTCTGAGGACTCAGGGCACCAAGATGTTTCCATCCTTGGTCCTTGAGTGTGCTCTTCAATCCTTATCATGTTTACCTGCTCTATGGGAAAACTTGGGAGAGGAAGGACTCACCCACTCATCTCTTCTGGGAAGCCTATTTACAGATTGTTTGGCCTGGGTAAGATGTCTACACCTGCCAGTGGATCACAAGCTAGTCTCTGTCAAACAGGTGCTGGGTGAGAAGAGCTTCATTAAGAAAAGGCCTTGGGAGTGCCATACATACCCTGAGACAGACAAGTCAAATGCTCTCAGTCTTTTGCTGCAGACAGTTTCAGGGGCCTGTTGACATGGATACATGAAGACTCTAAAGGCAGCTATGTTTTCAGCACTAGCTCGGCTCAGGGTTTTGTGATGTCAGAGTCCTCTTCTGGGGTTCTTCAAGCTCTGTTAAATATTTTGCCCTCTCTTCAAGCTGGCTGTTCGTAGTCCCTGCCATTCTTATCGTAAACCTATGACAGTGGACAGATCCTGCCACAGCTCCTGCGCTTCTCGTTACCTCACCGCCCCATGGTTACAGGCTCACCTAAAGCAGCCCGAGCAGTCGGGAATGCAGTGTGCAGCTTGTGATCAAACAATGAAGACGGTGAACGGAAAACTCGAAGAACTTGAGCACTGATGGCTGGGGTGTGAGTTAAGGAACTGGTGGCAGGGGGTGGGGGGTGGGAGGGTGGGGTGGGGTGGTGGGGTGAGGGGTTCCAAATGCTTACCATGAATTCTGAACAGCCCCAGGAAGTAGGCAGTTAAAATCTTATTTAACAAACAAACAAACAAAACAAAAAACAAAAACCGTAGCAGGTCACTCATGAATCAGTGACTCTCCAGGACAGCCTACCCTGGCAAAGGTAATTTGATGAGTACAGAGCATTGCTGCATTCCTTTCTCATGATGATTCCTAGTGATGGATTTAGAATCGGGAAATTATGACATCCAGGAATGCAAGAGAAAGAGACAGACCATGGCCTAGTGAGATGGCTTAGCAGGAAGGGGAATTTGCTACCACGCCTGGCCGCCGAGTTCAATCTGTGGGACTCAACTGGTGGAAAGAGAGAATTGACTCCTGAAGGTTGTCCTCTACCTTCTGCACCCACTTCCCAAATAAATAAATGTATAATAATAATAATAATAATAATAATAATAATAATAAAAACAAATGAAAAAAAACAATAGAAAGCAAATGGAAGACAAAAAATGGCAATCACTGTAGTTATAAAAGTGCTAAGTACAGCAGGTAGAAGGCAGAAGATGGTAGAATGGAATCAGCACAATCCAACTATATCCTGTCTACAAGCAACTCACTTCAAATATGATGATACAGGTGGGGTGAAAATAAAAAAGGAAACAGTGTCCTACACAAACTGATAAAAAACAAAACAAAACAAAAACCAGAAATTGGTGTATTAGCCTCAAATAAAGCAAGGTCAGAGCAAAGGAAATTAATAGGGTCCAAGAGGGAGATTCTTTAACAACAGAGGGGTAGATCCAGCAAACCTAAACATGTATACGTCAAACACCAGAGCTTCAAAAGTATGTAAGCAAAAACCTAACTATGCTGGAAAGAGCAAACAGCGAAAGACAGGAACAGGCATATCTGTTTCTAAAGCTGTTACTCCACCGACAGCAAGAAACAGAACTAGATACAGTCAAGTCAGCAAGACAAAGAACCACCAACCCACCCCCTTCCTCTGGAGGATACAACCTTCACCAAGGTAAGCACACGTAGTTCTAACAGCCCTCACACACTTTTTTCTTTTTCCCTTTTTTTTTTTTTTTTGGTTGTTTGAGACAGGGTTTCTCTGTGTGTCCCTGGCTGTCCCTGGCTGTCCTAGAACTCACTGAGATCCACCTGTCTCTGCCTCCTGAGGGCTGGGATTAAAGGTGCACCATTTCCGGCTCTGTCACACACTATCAAGAAGAATGACATCATAGTGTCCTCTGGCCACAATGGAATCATTTTAACAATCGGAAACAGGAAGACAACAGGACAATCCCCAGCTAGTTGGCAGTTGAACGACACACTTCTCCACAACCCACAGTACAAAGAGGACACTGAAGGAAACCAAACACATTCAGAACTAGGCTACAAGTGGGAGGCAGTTACAGCTTATACTAGAAAACAAGTTCTTGAGCTAATAACCCAAAATCTTAGCTAGGGAAAGGAGCAAGATGAACCCAAAGCAATCAGAAGAGGAAATGAACTAGACTCCCCACTGCTGATTTCCATGGGGCTGCTTGATTCTTTTTAGACTCTGGCCAAAGCCACATTTTGCTGACACTTAACAGCTGCCTGTGTGCTGGGTGAGCATGCCAACAATACCTCATGTTCATGACAGGCCAGCAGAAGGCTATGTCCTTGAACTTGGCAAATTCGACTCTGGTATTTCTCTTGATGTGGATGCCAGTGGTCCTGGGAGCACTGGCCACAGAGCAGGCTTTGTGCAGGAGGGTACTGGGTTCTGCACTGTTTTCAAGTTCTACCCCCAGGAAAAAGACTGCCCAATCAATTACTGAAGACACAGCTTCTGTCCCATAGTCATTCCTAGGTTAGGTGGTCCCAGAGACACAGCTGACAACTAAATAGTTCTCCCTGCACACCCTGAGGCGGCGACATCTAGGGAACTGGGTCTTCCCACCAGTGTAGGCCTCAACAGACCATCCCTAGCAGCCCAAACTCTGTTTGGAAGGAACAAGTGTGGGGTGAGTTGGAGGTTATGTGTAGAATGAAGGACAAGCTGAGCTGGCTTTCCCCACCCTCTGCTTCTGTCATGTTCCCTCTGCTCTCTGCTGGTTTTCTCAAGACCTCTCAACTCAATCCTTAGAATAAGATGTGGTAAAGCCAATGCTTCTGTGTCAGGGCACATGGCAGGTCTGAAGAATTACAAAAGGACCGATACCAAATACCAAATCACAATGTAAGACAGACAGTGCTCCAGAACACAGGAATCTACTGTAGTCCTTCATCCCCCCAGATCATTCAAACTGGTCCAACCACAGCAGGTCACAAGATTTCTAGGCCTCTTCAGTGAGCCTGGGATGGAGGCAGAAAACAGATTTTAGTAAGCGTTCTTCCCACGGCCATGCTGAGGACACACTTAAGTACTGCCAAGCTGGCAGTGGTGCAAACCTTTAATCCCAGCACTTGGGAGGCAAGTGGATCTCTATGAGTTCAAGGCCAACCTGGTCTACAGAGCAAGTTCCAGGGCAGCCAGGGATACAGAGAGAAACCCTGTCTTGAAAAACTTAAAAAGTCCTACTGTGGCCTGAGGACAAGAACCATCATAGTCCATGTTTTATTTGTAGAAGCTCCCACTAGTTTTTTGCTCAGGGACATTTGATAGAACTTCCTAGACTGAACACAGAATACTGTATTTACACAGCACACTCAAGACTCCACCTACAGCTTATTACTCTGGAGAACCTGGGGGGTCCTTGTCGGGCCTCTCCACCCCAAACATACAAAGGGGACAGACACTTCCTTGGGAGGCTGCAGCGCCCCCTAGAGGCTATGCTTCCCCCACCACAGGCAGCCTTCCTTAGTTCAGCCATCTTGACCCTGTGGTCAAGCTGTCCATTTTGGGCATTCATCATTGTTCAACTCCAACAATAGCACTACCCTCCAGGACCCCACTTAGAACAGCCCCCTACCACCTGTGGCCTGGCCACCCTCCCAGCTCCGTGAGGGCAGGGCTCAGCTTATTTGGCCAAGAGACCTAGGCATGTACTTAGTCATTCCTGAGAGCAAAGAATCTTTAAGCACTGGGAAACCTCTAATCAGTGGGAACCTGGTCGGGGCTTTTCTTCTCTGAGTTTCCTTCCTACAGCCCCTGGTGTCTCAGGAAAAGCCCACAGCCTTTAATCTAAGTAAGCTCGTTGCTTACCTGGCTCAGGAACTGCTTGGACCCAGTCAGCTGTCTACAGTGCTACTCTATCGGCTGTTTTCTCCAGTGACTTGGGGAAGGATCTTAAAGTTAAGATATGGAGAAAGCAAGGAAGGAGCCAGTTAATTTCAAACTTCTCTGCGTATGTATGTTAAACGAGGTTTGGTCCTTGCATATCTCCTTGAGCCATGAAGAGAGCATCCTGGTTCTCTGGTTGGTCTAACCAGCTGATCAACAGAACCACTAGCCAAGCCTAGCAGGCAATCCACAGTGCTGCGATTATCACTGCAAATCACTGTGCTTTGTCACAAGGCACAGCAAACCAAGTCACACACCATCTCTTAATTTTCTGTGGCCAGTGTTGTGCATGGAGACCATGTAACCAGCAAATACAGGAAGTAGAACAGAGATTCTCAGAGATGGAAAACCCGCCTTCAGGGACACATCTACCTAAACCTGGGATGAGTTGCACAAGAGCAATTCTTGGGAATAATGGAAGACAGGTCAATTACAGGAAATAGTGTCACAGAAATAGAAACAGAGCCTAGATGGACCCAGGTATATGTAGGTGCTTAGTGGGAGGTAACAAAGGCATCACAAATCTGGGGGAAATAACTCACTACTGAGAAACACTGGGAGCTGTGTGGTGGTGCATGCTGAATCCCAGAACTCTGAAGGAAGAGTGGAGTTCCAACCAACCTGGTCCACACAACTAGTTTCAGGTCAACACAAAACAAACAAAAAAGATATACTGGAGGGGGCTAGAGAGATGGCTCAGTGGTTACAAGCACTTGTTACTCTTTCAGAAAGAGGACCTGGGTTCTGTTCCTCATACAACAGGCTGTATGTTTCAATCTTACAGTGTGAGTGACCAATTTACATGAGGGGGCTGGAAGACTTCAAAACCTGAACCATATTTGGGCCCCTGTTTATCATCCTCATGCAGAGTGATGGGAATAGAGTGAAACAAACAAAATCTTAAAAAAATAAAAAAAGATATATTCTTGAGAAAAATTTTAATTTGAAAGAATCAAAAGAAAAATTGAACAGTGCCTAAATCTTTTATTTTTCATAACCTACATTTTTTTTTCAAATTAGACAGTTTTACACTGAATGACAAAAGGAAACTTAAATTACCGATAGTTTACATGTAAGCTTGATTCCAGTCTTAATGAAAAGTAGAACAGAAACAGAAACCCTCAGGCAAGCTTCCACGTTACACTCCCGTTCTGTGACTCGCAGCTGTTAGCACTCCTGGAATCTTCGATTGTCTGCTGCTTTCCGTATAACAGGCTACAAAGCACACAAACCCACAACTACAGCTCACTGAAGGGGACACAAAGACAGGTATGCACCATCAGTCGCCTGCTGTGACAAACTGGACCAGTTTTTCAATATCAACTGCAGAAACCCTAATACAGCAATGTAAGACTTTTTTTCCTCTTTTTTTTCCTTTTTTTCTTTTTTTTTTTCTTTTTTCTTTGCCACCCACCAGTGGCAACCAGTGATGCAATGACAGGAAGGATTCACAGAGACATCAGGACACTGACTACTGAGAGCGGAATCACTTGAAATTCATGTCTGGTGAAATGGGGCCAGATTCCTATTCCATATTTCCATATGATAATTAAGTATCATCACACAATTTTACAAGTTAAAAATGTCATTTGTGACTGTGGTATCTCTGATTCTATACCTTGAGATACTGAAAGGAATGAGTAAACTTAAAAAATAGATTATGAAAACCACATATCACGCTTGCTGTATGTGACATAGCAAGAGTCTGCATGCGCCCTCCACAGCTTCCTACTGTGATAACTCCATTGTTTTCTGAGTGGAAAAACCTCAGGGATCAGGAAGTCTCTGTTTTGACATCACACAGCTATTTGGCATATCACCTTTGCTTCCTGAAAAAGAGTGCTATTAAAAAAAAAATCACATCTGAGCAAGGCTTTAGATCCTGGTGCCAGGCTGTCACTGGCTAAGCAGTGATTACAGTGTCCCGACCTTGTGCACATGCCCAGCTGGCTCTGCATGCAGCCACTGAGCCTACTCCAGCCAGCAGCCAGCACGCATCTACAGCTGGCTCTGCCACACACGCTTCGTGCTGCAATGCTCAGCCTTGGGGAAAGGACTTCCCATTAAAACCCAAGGATCCTCTGTGAGAGCACCCTTGGGGATAAGGGATGCTGATCATAATCTGGCCCCTCTTCCAGGAAAGATGTGATGGGAAGGACCTGAGGCCTTAGGCTCGCCTTTCCAGATAGACGGTATCTGCTAGTGTGGGTTCAAGAGGCTGGCTGTTTCTTCTTCTTCTTCTTCTTCTTTTTTTTTTTGTCAGTGATGTGACATCTACAAGGAAATTCATCCTATGTTCCTTTCACAGGCATTTGAAACAGCACTGCGTATATTCCTATGTAACTGAATGACAGCTGCTCTGAAGGAAATGGTCACATGCATCAGGCATCTTTGCCTCTGGCAGGATAAATCACTTAGCAAAGTATGATTTTAATTAGTACATTTCTGTTTTTTTACTCTCCTTGGAAGATCCTGCCAGTCTCTGCTCTCTATACTCTCCTTCAAAACCCTTAAACATCAGATATGATTAGTATGTACTTACATACTTTTTAAGAGTATGAAAACATCCAAAGGCTTTTAATAAGACTTCCCATTTCCCTTTTGCAGCAAAGAGGCAAAATCAGTTCAACACACCAGTATAAGGGGAAAAGAAAAACCTTAACACATTAAAATAATACTCAAACCACAACATTTAGTTTATCTACATCCAGGTCAACAGTAACATTTATAATATATCAATAATTTTTTATCAGATTCTTCTCTGTAGGGTACCTTTCTCATATGTTCTGATTATTTACACTGTACAGGCAGAGTACACTCCCAAGTGCACAGATTTAACACAGTAGCGACTATTTGCATTTACAGGATTTTTCAACAATTTGAAAAAAGATCAATTGTTGAAGATCTGTAAGGTATGTTACAAAAACCACTGGAGTTCTTGTACAACAGTATGTGTACTCAGCAAAACCACCACCAGGAGATCCGCACGGTGACTGAGTAACCAATCCACTCCCACCAACCCAGGGGCCGGTCTCCGTGAGCTCTAAGCTGTCTTATACAAAAGTTAAGGCAAAGTCATTTTCAAGTTTAAATAAAATTCAAGTCTTTAAATATTGGATGGAAATCATTTTTTCTTAAAAAAAAAAACAAAAAAAAAAACAAAAAACCACCAAATAACTCGGGAAAAAAAAAAAAAAAAACCAAAACAAACTTCAGTCTTATTAAATAGCATTTTGTGGAATAAGCTGTACGGTTACACTTAGCAGGAACTATTTTAATGTCTGCTGCTTAGAATACTTAAAGAAAAATTTTAGGCATTTTAAAACAAAATAATTTATCTGTAACTTTATTATAAACTTGCTAACTTTACTGCACCCTTGTTCTTCACAAGTGCAGCAACGCTTCTTAGAAAGAATCAGTGAGACCCTCGTCTTGGAGGTAAAAAGAGCAAGGATTCTGTCCTCTACCAGCCAGAGGGGGGGACCACAAACACCACTCTCTCACGGCTAGGTACTTCTAAATCCATGTGCCGAAGCAGAGGTACAGGAAGACATCCACACAGAGCTGGTTAAGACACGACTCTCCAGCAAGAATGCGTGGGGGGACACGGACAGAGCAAGCACTGGAGGCTGGGAGCCAGGTAGCCTGCTCACAGGGACCAAAACATCATGGTGTAACTTCATGGTATGATGTCAGTGGGCAACAGAGTTTCTATTTCCATCTAGGTTCTATTCACAATGTGCTTTGAATTTATTTTACATAATAGCCACTTGGAACTGGAGTGAGAAGCTGGTTACTTGCTCGCAGGACATCCAAACTCAAAGGTTTCAGGTCTTTCTAGGGTGCTCTTTGCAGGTCCTTCTGCCCACGAGGTCAAAAAGAACTGTATATACATAGGTATCTTTTTTAAAGCTAGAATTTCCTGTCAACTAACAGTTTAGATGAAAACACAGCTCCTGTGCCAGTATGCCAGTGCCCTGACATTGCCAGTCCCTTGCTCTGTGAGGCCAAGGCTGCCCCTGCTTGCGCCATCAGCCCTCATCCATCTGTTGGGGACACCCTACCCATATGCACTTGCAGACCAGTTGTTTAAAAAAAAAAAATGAAGTAGCATAGTTCCCTTAATTTAGAAAAACTCATATATAGCTTGCATTCAGAGCCACGTGGAGGCTTAATAAAAAATATCCATTTGTTAGGATAAATACATTTTCTATCCTGAAAAACAGACTTCTGCGTCACCTCCAGTTAAGCACCAACCTAAAATAAGGTTTATATTATATAATTAAATCCTGAAAAATAGATTTTTTTTTCAAGAGGGGGAAAATCCGACTCACAGAAGGAAAATAACTTGCAGGCATCCCATGGGCCTCACAGACACTGCAAGCTCCTAACCAGCGGCTCATTCCGAACTGAGTGGGAGAGCTTCGTTTGTGGTGAATACAGCTCTTCCAGACCCCTCCCAGGCATCCGGCTTTCACTGAGGAGACTTGGGGGGAGTGTTCTGTTCCCTGTTTAGACGCTTCCCAGCAGCTGGAGGCGAGGGTCGGCGCCCAGGCTGCCTCCTCTGATCTTTGGGGACCCCAGGAGTGGACTTGAGGGCAGTGGGCTCTCTGTATCTCTCCACAGGTTCAGTGAGCTTCTTCTCCTCCTTCCCACAGGTGACAGTGTTTGGCTTTTGTTCTTTTGGGGGTTGCAATGGGGAGGATGGAGGCTCTTTACTCGTTCTCTGACAAATCTCTGCATAACTGGGCTTTCGCAATTCCTGGAAACACAAAATGTGGGATTATGGGTACAAAGTGACAGGAATGAAGTTACATAAAATAAAGCTTTAATTTTAAGTAAAATTCCATCTTCATGGGTATTTTTACTTTTAAAACATTCACAAAACCCAGTAGCAACTTCTGCCATGTTCCTGGCAGCTAAAATGACTATCATCAAAGCTCCTGTCACTAGCGCTGTGGACAAGCATATAGAATCAAGAATTCTCACTGTGATGGAGCAACTAGTGGTAGTTTGAATGTAACTGGCCCCCTTTTGCTCACAGGGAGTGGCACTATTAGGAGGTGTGGCCTTGTTGGAGAAAGTGTGCCACTGTAAGGGTGGGCTCTGAGGTCTCCTATGCTCAAGCTTCACCTAGATCAGTTCACTTCCTGTTACCTGAAGATCAAGATGTAGGACTCTCAGCTCCTTCTCCAGCACCATGTCTGTATGCACCCTGCCATGTCCTGCCATGATAATAATGGACTGAACCTCTCAATTGTAAGCCACCCAATTAAATGTTTTCCTTTGTAAGAGTTGCCATGTTCATGGTGTTTCTTCACAGCAATAAAAACCCTAATTCAGACACAACTGTTGGTATATTTCTAGGATTTGATGACTTTGTCAGTTGGTGCTGGGATTAAGTCACAGAGTTTGAAATTACTCAACAAGGATTGAAAGATTACTAAAGAGGAATAATATAACCATGCTGCTTCCTCGAGAAGAGGAGCCTGAAGCATGAATGGATTTCCTTGACTTATGTTAGATTCTGGCTTTTTATTTGTTTGTCTAGACTCTATAAAGCTAAGTTTCTGTGAAAAGAAAATACATCCATTTTTCTAATCATTTTTTTTTTTTGACAAAATTTTTTTTTAAGCTTAAAAAACACAGATGTTTTGGTTAAAACAAAACAAAACATAACAAAAAAACCCACTCCCTTCCCTTGCAGTACACTTTTCCTCCCAAGATACTATAGAGCTAACCCCTCTAACATGGCTAACAACATGAAATGGTAACCAAACTCTGCCCAGCATGAAGCCTTTAAGCGTTCTTGAGAAATATGGGAGCTTAAGAGGCTCAAGGGGGAAAAAAAAAGGTACAAACCCTGCTTCCCTTGACCAAGACAGGACATCTGCAAGTGCTCTGCTTACAGAGGGAATAAACTGCGATGGTGTGGCACAGTGGTCCTGTGAGCCTTATTCATTTATTTGTTTATTGAGACAGTATCTTATGTAGTGCAGGCCTCAGTGTGTGAGTTACGCTTCAACTCCTGATCCTCCTGCTTCCACTTCCTAAGTCTAAGATGGAGTCTTACTATGTCTGGCACTTAGACAGAACTTGTGGAAATTTGATCTTCTTGATTCTGCCTCCTAAGTCTTGGGATTACAGGTGCGTGCCACCATACCTAATGCAATTTTAACTTAAAGACTTACCTCAACACCAAGCTGAGGAAGATGCAAATCCAGATAAGAGATGCTAGATCATCAAGGACAGACATAAACTACCAGACCTGAGGACTCACTGCATCACTGTGGATCCCTGGCTGGCTGCAACCTGCTATGTAAACCAGGGACCTCAAACCTGCAGGCATTGTCCTGCTCTGTCCCCCCAAGCACTGGGACTAAAGGCCTGAGCCACCATACCTAGCAGAAACACTGGGATTTAAACAAGGCAAAAAGGACACCATGTTGTTCTTTTTAGTCATTCTGCTTAATTCTTTTTCATATATACAATACACACAGTAAATGCAGAAATGATCAACCTCCATACAGGACAGAGTTGGGACCTTGTTACTATCTGAGAGACAGTAACTGAAACAGAGAGGAGGCTCAGCAATGTGGTACAGAGAAATGAAGGCACACACAAATGGAAACCAATCAAATTAGAAAGACTAAAAACAGGCTGAGGCAGGACCTATATAGGACACCTGAGTGCTGAGGAAGGCAGGCAAAGCACTTACTGTTGCTGCTCCATTCACCTGCACTGATTTACATGCAGTTGTAGTAGGGGTAGAAGGGAGTCTGTCCACACTGTGGGTTTCCCTCTGCTTTTCTGCCACCTTGGGATCCCTGTGAAAATGCCATCTGGTTTAAGAATCATGTATAACATTAGTCATTCCCACTTGTACACGGCAGAGGGCTGGTAGAACACTGATACTTACTCGGGTAAATGGGCTGGGGAAGGGGACCGTTCAAATGCTGCTGACACAGCACAGGGTGCTGCCACGGAAGGCTCTCTGGGGACCACTACAGGAACGGTGTTTGTGCTTGCATCTGCACTGAGGTTCTGAAATCATTAAAGTAGCAATTTACGAGCTGTTAGATCTTTGCCCAAGAAGTTAAGGGCCTAACCATTAAAACCATGGCAATCTCTAACCCACCTGTAGAGCCTGCTTCCCACCCCCCTGACTGACTGATGCCGAATGGTGTATCCACCCTCCAAACCAACAGAATCAGTGGTCCTACCAACAAACTGCCAAGTTCCAGCACAAAGCCATAGGAGAAGAAGCCTCCAGCAAACACAACAACATTTTGAGTTGTTAACTGTTGCCCAGCACTCAGCCCTCTTGCTCTCAGCAAACGCACTGTAATTATCTGTAGGCTTGTCTTAAGTGAACAGCTTCCAAACACACCTTACTCATCTGACACGTCAGGGCTCCCCAGGTAGGGACGGAATTACCAAGACAGTACACTATGGTTCACTGGTGTCACTAATACAAAACAAAGACTGACGAATCCACACCCACATAAAATAAGTGCTTGGTGGTAGGTGGAAGACACCCACAGGAGCTCTCACCTGAATCCACAAACCACCCCTGAAGCAGGCCTACAAACCTGCTTGACCCAATTTAACAGGCAAGGTCACTAAGCTAAGACCTGAGTGAATGAGAAATTACTCCATCAATGACCTGCTCAGTGCAGCTGTAATTCATACAAGTTTACTCATGTCATTAACCCAGGATGCGATTTTAAAGCAAGTCAACAATTGGTTATAAGTTTAAATATAAAAAGACAAAATTTTCTAACTGCCTTTCTTTTCAAAGCAGGTAAAAGTTCAAAGGTAACAAAGTAGCTGGAAGTGCAGCTTTGGGAGAATGGCACAATTTACCCTCTTATGTGGGGCTAGGGTGAGGTTCTGCTGGCTTGAGAACCAGAGGGACTTACGATTGCTCACATGAAAGGGACCTAGCTTGCTAAAACACAGGGCAGCCAACCACTTCTTATTTGTAAAAGCATGCTCACATTCAACATATGTTCAACTCTGCCTCTATTTAAACCGACACATGTGACACTTTACAAACAGTCACAAACTCTATGTCAAGCAAGGAGGGCTTCTATGGCCTAATGTCTCAAGTTTTCTGTAGCTCTTGCAGATGCATCAATGCTGGCAGCAGCAGAGACTGTGTAACTTGGCCACAGAGCCAGGCCCCGCCTTTCAGAAAGCAGTAATTCCTTCTTCAAGAAGGGCTTTGCACAGAAACTCAAGTACATTCAAAGCAGCAACTGTCTGCAAAACTGAGGAGGGCTGCCAGTGTTATTCACCTATCACTTAAGGGAGACCATAACTTGAAAACAAGACTTCATAACTGTTGAAATGCATAATTCTCTACTGTTTTATAAGGCAATTGGAAATTATTCATATGGACATTGAGACTTGTAAGTTCTAAGACATCCCAATTCTAACATGTTACCCTTTCTAGATAATATGGACTCCTGGAAAGCATAGTTTCCATGGCTAAAAACAGTAGCAATTACCACTTCTCAACATGAAAAGAACTCAACTTTTTACCTGACCTTAGTCTCAAGATACTGTAGTAGCAAAGTCACCTGCCTTAACTATTGCAGCCACTACTGTGGCTCTCCACTTGGCTGTGGAGTGGTGCTCCCCCACCCCCCGCCCAAGACAGATGTACCATCTGATGTACGGCCACAGTTGACAACTGCAGCATAAGGAATGCCTAGAGCCAGGACTACTCTACAAGCCCAGCCCACCCCCACCAGGCTGGCACTCAGCCATACTTTAGTAACTGGGCACAAAGTCCTTTTTCTGCATGTCCCAGAGCCTTGAACACTGCTACTGGCAGGGGGCAAATCCCACTGCCAAGCTGTTAGCTAACTGTATTGCAGGAGCTCTAGGAATCTCTTCGGACTTGAGTAGCTCAGCTGAGACTAGCAGTGGTGACGTTCACTGAGACTGCAGTGAACGACCTTGGGGCAGCCTAGAGTTTGCCTGAAATCACCAGACGACAACAAAGTGACTCTAAGCTTCTGGCTGCTAACACTATGTAGATTATGTCTGGTGTAATGCAGACTCTTGTATCTTATTCTGTTTCGTGAAACAAAAGGGTTTTAAACATCAACAGCAACAATTCATCTACGCACGTGTACAGCACAGGCGCCACAGCAACCTCAGCAGACGGCAAGAGAAGGGCGGCTTGACCTGGCTCCAACACCAAGTGAGCAACACAAATCACCCAAAACCTTAAACCTCTTTCAATTCCTTTCTCCTTTTAATGTGTGTAAAGAACTTGGGCCAGGTTGCTGCACAACATCAGTGCTTAGAAAACATCAGCAAACTTTACAGCTGTAACACATAGCTTACTCTTTCTTTTGAAGATCCTATGATCAAGCTGGAAAGCCTGTTTTCAAACAAGTCCTCTGCCTTCAAATTGCCTGCAGCTCCAGGTAATGGGGGGAAGTTGGACAGCCCCAGTTCGAAACTTGGTGATGGAGGCTTTGGTGGTGTTGGAGACTGAGTCTGACTGCTCTGCAACACAATGACACCCCAGAAGGTCACACAAGTGTGGAGAGACAAGGGTAGCACAAAAGCAAGGCAAAGAATCTTCCAGCTGTCACATCTGTCTGAAAAGTCTATAAATGTTGCATGAGTGATTTCTAGGGTTCACTTAAGTTGAAATTTAGACCAATAAGATAAAATGCAGTTCAAATGCAAGCAGTGGGCCAGCAAGAGGATTCAAAGATGCCTCCTGCTAAGTTTAATCCCCAGGGACCCACATGGTAGAAAGAAAAAAACACACTCCCATAAGTTGTCCTTTGACCCTCATATATGCACCAAGCATGTCCACATGCACACACACACACACACACACACACACACACACACGCAAATGTAATATTAAAAAATTCAAATGTAAGCAAGTTAAAGGATGAAATGTATCTAAGGCGACAAATTCAGGCTGTACTGGAAATTTTTTAGCTGAAGTTTACCTGGTTATGTGCCCTCACAACTGCTACCAAGTAGCCTTCTTGGTAATCAGATCAAATGTGATCTTACAGAGCTTGTTCAAAGCAACCCTTACTTCATTTAATAATGGTAGCCAAATACAAAAGTGTAGTGGGTAGCCATTCCAGCTTGGATCTGGAAGTTCCAACCCCCATTGAGACTTTGGCAACTGTCACTCCTACAAGGCGGGGCCAAGGGAGGCGTCTGGAGACCTGAGACCTGGATGGGTGAGCGCTCTCTCGGTTCCTGGACCCTAAGAGGGTGGAGGTTGACTGAGCAGAGCTCCAACCCCGCAATCTACCTATTCCTTCATTTGTAAGTTACCCACTAAATAAATCTTCCTTTTAACTACGTGGAGTGGCCTTAATAATTTCACCAATACAAAAGTAGTTGGTGCCCAAATGCAAATGCAAAAGCAATAACTAGAAAGTCAGATAAGCCAGAGAGAAGCCAAAGAGTGCTTCCTGTTGAGAAAAAGGTGATTATTCTCAACTGTCCCGAGGTACAAACTAAGCCTTTGCTCACGGGGCCACAAAGGGAGACAAATTCGTCTGGCTGCTGCACCTTGCACTTCTGAAGCTACAAACTCCGTGTGGCAAGATGCCTTCTATTAGCCAAGGTTTTAGCATCCACTCTGAGTCTTAGATGTTTCCCAGTGGATGGAAGAAGTCCTGCTTATAATCCCAATATAGTTCTCCACGCTGCAGCCACATGTAGACTGTACTAAGTATAAAAGTGAATCCTACCTGTAACTGTTCACAGCACCATAAACCAGCTGGTCATCAGTATTTTTAAAAACTACACAATCCTTTCTTCTTTAGGCCAAAAATATCAGTTATTACCCTTAAGGATATCACATTAAAGTTTTTTTTGCAATGTTCCTCCTCAGATCTTATCCTTAATCCATTTAGTTAACACTGATGTTTGCTTACTATTAGATTTAAATGTCTTGTAAAAATAAGCATTTGGAGCTAGAGAGATGGTTTGGTGAACAGAGTTGCTTGCTCTGCAAACATAAGGACTAGAATTCATATCCCCTAGCACTCAGGCAAAAAGATAAACTCAGCAATGTGTCTGGAACTGCAGCATTGATGGGTGGAGACAGAATGATCTAGGGAGCTCACTGGCAGCCAGCAGTGAAGCAGTGGGCTTCCAGTGCAGTAAGAGACTATCTCAAGACAATAAGGTAGACACTGATGAGACACCTGAAGTCTCTTTCTGGCTTTTACGTATCCAAGTGTAAGAGTTCATGTGAGTGCACACAGGCAGGAGTGTGAACGCACGTGCGCACACAGACACAGACACACACACACAGACACACACACCACTTTATGTACTCACTGTAAACTTCTCTTCTCTTTTCTTCCGATAGCCAAAGGAATTTTTCCTAGGAATAGAAAGCAAAAAGACCATTATTTTTTTTCCTTACTTGGAAAATTTGCCAAGCTTATGTTTTCTTATATATTCAAAGCAGTATGCATCAATTCAGTCAGTCGTTAATATTTTTAATCTTTCATGAAGAAACTGATTCCAAAAGTCAACTTTAAAAAGACAATCAAGCTGGGCGGTGGTGGCGCACGCCTTTAATCCCAGCACTCGGGAGGCAGAGCCAGGTGGATCTCTGTGAGTTCGAGGCCAGCCTGGGCTACCAAGTGAGTTCCAGGAAAGGCGCAAAGCTACACAGAGAAACCCTGTCTCGAAAAACCAAAAAAAAAAAAAAAAAAAAAAAAAAAAAGACAATCAAAACCCAGGCATCATAGCACATGCCTGCAGTTCTAATATTGGGGTTACTGAGGCAGGAAGATGACAAGCTTAAGATCAGCCTGCATCAGATTATATAACAAGATGGTCTTACTGTATTAAACAAAAGTATAAACAACAAAATCCAAATGTGGACAGTAAATCATCAAGTTAGATATCCAGACAGATAATAGAAAATCATTATTGTAACAACTTATCTACTGGCTACTTAGAATTTTTAAGATTTGAATGTTTAACTGTCCCTTCAGCTGGAATGATAAGATATATATACAAAATCTGACATCAAACTATATAGGTGAGCGATTTAAAACATTAGTAAAAAACCACGATTATCCCTTACTGCAAAAGCCACATAAGAACCTCTAAATCCTGAAAGTGCCCTAAAACCCAGGCTTGCCTTCCTTATCAACAGCAAGCAGCCAGACACTGGGCAGCAAGGCTGGGAGTCTGTACCCTGCAGCAGTACAGTGAGCCACAGAATCCGTATTTACAGTTTCCTGGATGGGTTTATGTGGTTTAACAAGCTACACATGAATCTCAAATGGCAACTTCATTTTTATTTGTTTATCCCTTCTATCATTTTAACTGCACAGACTCCCCAAAGGCTATGCATTATATACTTAAAAGGAATTTAGATATTATTAATTTCTTTATTTATAGAAAATAAAACATGCTTTTGTCTTAAGTGTTCCTATTAGAATAAGAGGTCTGAGGGAGGCTCTAAAGACCCTCTGGCTTGCCTCTAGGATACAAACCTTTTTGGTTCTGGAGTAGATCCAGACTGTCTTGAGCAGAAAACTGACTCTCCTGAAGGAAATGGAGTCTGGCTTTCTGCTGAGCTAGCCTAGTAGGGGCTAAATCCCTGAGCACAGATGAGGTATTATGCCATAAAGGTGGGCATGAACAGTCACCTGTTGGAACAGGGCCCTGAGTACCATCATGACCAGGCCTCTGGGCACTCGGATGAAAGGTGACAAGTTCTGGTATGGCATGGGCACTGTGAACATCTGTGCTACAGTTGCTGCCTTAAGACCACAGGCAGGCTCCACAGTGGGCTAGCTTCACTGTAGGTGTCTGTGCACCAACACCATCTAACAACAGTGGCTCCCTGTCAGCAGAGCCTACAAAATGCATAGCTGCCGTTAGAGCACCTCAATAGACCACTTGGAGCTCCAAGTGCAGTAACCCCATGGAATGACAGGACGTCCTGGAACATGCTTTCAGTGTCCATCCCTTGAAAGTGACTGCAGAGAGAAGACACAGCCAAAGGACTGCTTCACAGTGTGTGGTTTGTTGTAGCAGAGACACAGGCAGAGGCACGGTCCCAGCACCATGCAGTTTTGCACTTGGGATACTGGGAGCTCGCAGGTTTTAGATCCCACATGGGCATGCTTCTGCTCTGTATCTAAGACAGATCCCCAGCTGGCATCTGGAGTTTTTTACTATACTGACCTTGGCACGCACAAGGATAGCAGATACATGACTGAAGCCTTGAAGGCTCTATAGCAACCTCTTAGTGCTTCAGACTAACAGAAAAAGTTGATGAGTAACACACTCTCAAGGAAAAACAATAGAAGAGGAAATGCAAACTCTGTGGAAGATCAGGTCCTTCAGGAAGGAGGAACTAGATCACCCCTCCTGCTTCTGCATAGGCTCTCTGGACACAGGACATATGATGGAGAGAGAAGGAAACTACTCACTAATCCTGCTTTCAAGTCCATAGTTCAGAAACAAGGACTGAAAGCTATACTCATTCATAAGTGAGGTGTGCAAATCCTTACTTATTTGGTCACAGATTAAGTGGAAACCGGATCCCTTTGTTGAGAAGAGAGTGAGAATCTCTCATTAGTACAAGGCCTGGTCTCTTTGGTAAGAACATAACCCTGTTCCATTGGCTACCTGGAAGCGCAAATACTGTTGGGAGACTGACAGTGACTGTCACCAAAGAGGCAGAACATATTGGTTAGCAAGATACTATCTAGTCTCAGCCCTACCTTTTTATTTCTTTCTTTCTTTCTTTCTTTCTTTCTTTCTTTCTTTCTTTCTTTCTTTCTTTCTTTCTTTCTTTCTTTCTTTCTTTCTTTCTTTCTTTCTTT